GGATCTGGTGCTTAGTGCCTGTTCTTGTGCTGCTACGATCAGTGCCTCAGTGCTGTCTTTTGGTCCAGCCCTTTTCAGCCACTGGTGGGATTTCCTAATGTCAGCCACCTCATGAGTTTGAAACAAACTCATCCAGCAAGGGCTTAACCTTCACCCTGCCCCAAAGCCAGGGAAAATAGCCAGGTCTTTAATAGCTTCCTGAATGCCATCAGCGTGAGAGCCATCTGGATCTTGTGGATGAGATATAGTTCCAGAGGGCAAGTGCCATGGCAAAGAAGGCACATTTCCTGGCTCTTGCAAGAGACACACCTTGATTGATGGGACCCAAAGTGGGCCCATTCTGCCTAATCTCATTAGATGGGCAGAAACAACTGGGAACAGGTGGTCCCTCAAATAAAACATTGCATTTAAACCTGAGTGGGATTTATTTAATTTTGGCTTAATATTACCATGGTTCAGCTCAGTGTGTTATACAAATCTTGGCAGTTGTGATTTATTCAGTGAGCCTTAAGTAAGTTTTGACTTAGTGCAGTGTGAATTATCAATTTAAAGAGGCTGGAGTACTGTAACTGCCATTGGTTTTCTGACTCATACACTTTTCTGCTTGTATCTTCAGAGCTGATTAGCTTTGTCCAAGGAATTTTAAACTATAAAAACAAGAGTATGGAAGCCTCCAAATATTGTTGAATTTCAGCTTCCGTCAACCTCATTCATTGTCAGACAGCTAGGCCTGTATTTTAGTTCATAACTACTCATTTCAAACATGTACATATCTGCTCTGGTTTATGTACAGCAGGCAGATCCCCCAACTGCTCCCTCCTGGTTTTGTTGTTTTAAAATGCAGGGAATTGCTAAGGTTGGGAAAAGAGAAGGAATTACTTTAGTCGCAGATTAAAAGAACCACAGTAGAAGAAGCTGGGAAAAAATTCAGGAAGCAAGCAGGAGGCTGTTGCTTCAGGAATCTCTGTTTCTAAGGAATGAATAAGTGTAGGCAGAAAACTACATTAAAGTCTTAATTTCCTTTGTTTTGTATTTGTGCCTGGGATTAATTCTCTCTGTACCAGTTCAGTAATTGTATGCTTTTGTCAGCCTCGTGGGGTAAACCAAATAGGAATCACAACCAGATGAGCTAATTCTACTTCATTATAAAGCTACGTTGACAGAATCTTGCAAGTCTAAAAGTACAATTCTCCCTCTGTCTCCACTGAAGCCCAAGAAACTAGGAAGGGTCTCTTCTGAGCCTCTTGCCGCAACTGCTGTCTAGCTACGGGCTATGTGGTCTCTTACCTGCCATTCCCTTGGCAGCATCTCTTTGCCTGGTCTCACACGGTCTTTCCCACATACCATTACAGCTTTTAATGTCACCTGGGATTTATTTACAGTAGGGTTTCCTCTAAGTAGGATGAGCCCAGCAACACTTGTTGTCTATCCAGAAGCATATATTTTTCCATGGCAGATTAAGATGCTGTATTCTTGATTTGAACAATTATATTTTTATCTCTTCTATTGCTGAATGTTTTTGCATGTTAAAAATGTTTACATTCTCTCTCTTTTTTAAATAAAGTTTGAGTCTGTTTATCTCTTGTGAAATTGGTCTATCTCCCAAAACAAAAGGGAAGAAAGCTACACAACTAATGCTAAAAGGCCAGAAGGTGGTGCTAGAAAATCTGGTTTTTTTTTTTTCTTTTCATTTTAATTTGCTGGAAAAGCAATGAAGGCTGTGGGATTTCATACACTGCAGTTGGGGGAAGATACTAGGCAAGGTGTTCTCCTGGCAAACAGATGCTGGCAGCAGTTATTACCAATCCACCACACCAAGGCAGGAGGTAGAGATAGGGTTCATAAAGCCATAAGGTTTCCAACAGAATAATTTTCCAATTAAATAAAATATTTAATTTTAGTTTCAAATTGTATTAAATACAAAACATTTTATCTGTACTCACCAAAGAACTTTCAGAATCAGTATTCTTTCATAAGCTTATGAAGGATATATTTCTTTCCTGTTACATGCTGAAGCACTTACTGATTCAAGTAATTTTGTCATCTTTAATACAAATATTCTCAGTGAGCCATCAAGCTCCTCAAGGTGTTACAGATAGCAAATTTGAGCTGTTGTAATGCTACTTTTGAGTTTGTGAAAATGCCAGTCTTTCAGTCTCCAGAATAACCTTTGTCTTTTTTTAATTTTGTTGGTAAGTTGGTAGGTATTAAATATCAGACTATTCAATGTGTACACAATTGCCATGAAATAAGCAGGCTGAAGTTGCTAGAGCATTTTTTCTACAATTCAAATGTTAACTAGCCATTCTGCAAACTACATGGCACCTATAACAACTTTAGTAGAAAAGTGACCGACAAGGTGGATCTATGCAAAAAGCCTAGCCACCGCTGCCACCTGATCTTCAAGCCAGCTCTGCTTGAGGAAGTGCAGACCCATCTTTAGCCAAAGAAGGAATATCTCTGGAATTGGAAGGCTTTCACAGACAATGTTACTCTGTCTTGCTGGGATTGACTCTAAAATAGTTCATCACCATCGAAACCCTCACATCTTCCAGGCACCAGGAAAGAAACTCCACAGTATCTCCTGTACAGCCGGCTGTTAAAATATATAGCTGAGTATCGTCTACATACGAATTATGTATGACTCCATGCTGGTGGATTACCTCCCTCAGCAGCTTATGTGGATGTTAAAAAAAAGAATGGAAAGTATCAATCCCTGTAGCACCCCACACAGAGGAGAGCCCAGCTTTTTACCTGCACTTGCCATCAACTGACTACTTAAGGAGGATAACCATGCAGCATAGCTCGCCCCTCCCAATGTTTCCAAACAGTCCACAAGGATGCCATGAACAGTGTTACTAAAGGCCACTCAAAGATCAAGCAGAACCAGGAAGGTCCACTTACTGTATCACTACAGGACGTGCACAGTGACCAACGTGCATTCAGTTCCATACTCAGGCCTGAACCCTAATAGAATTTCCATTCTAAAGAAGCATTCATCACCACTCAAAACCAGCTTCCTGGTACCTTCCTAGAGGCTTTCACCAACCAGGAAGGGCAGAGAAATAAGCTATGGATGGCAGAGCTGATAGAGAATTTTGTCTATATCCCATCTGTTTATATCCTATATAAATCATAGCTTACAAATAGGCTGTGTTTATATAGAAGACATGCGAACCACACTTCATCTTAGTAAGAATTTAGCTACTGAATCAAATTATGGCCTACAAACGACTTCAAGCCATGCCAGATAATTCTGGGATAGCAGTTATTGGCAAATCAGGTTTTGACTATGCAAGCATCATATTAAACTAAATTAACTTCCTTATTTAAATATGATTGGCATAATTCATCTTACTTGACTCTGAATTAAGCTTTAATTTGTGTTTTTTACCATATCCAGTTTAGTAGATCATTGCTACTCTGATGGGCAAGGATTTCACATCTTTGATTTTAAATCTCCTGCTTATGGTCTATCACTGTGTTTAATTTTTCAGATTTATTCCTATATATCATTCAATATATTCATGTTTAACTCAGTAAAACGTTCAAATTAGCAGAGGATTGTAGCATTAATCTAGCAAGGATTTAAGTGATTTAAATTTGGGGTTCCTTTCTCTTCCATTTTCTTCCTTCAATAGCTGATAGTGATTGTTCAGCAAGTACATTGCTATGT